CCCACCCGGGCGCTTCATCACTAACCAGGGATCGGCGCTCGACCCCCTTCCCTGGCGCGCGGAGCCACAGCCAGGGGGCCCCAGCGCCGATCCGAGAAATCCGCGCGGACCTCCGAGCTATTATGTTTATGTCAATGTTCGCTCTCTTAATTCGGCAAGCGAGGACACGAGAATTCCAGGAAGCGGTCGAGGAAAATGATACACGGAGCAGACGAGGAGCAGGCGTCGGAAGAGAGGAGTGGTAGGAATGGGGGTGCCCTTCTCTGCCCAGGCTCACACAACTGGTGCCATAGCGGGAGGTCAAGTAGTGGGTCGCGTTGTGCAGCGTTGAAAGGCCAGTGCTCCGTACCCAGGTAGAAGAAAGGAAACCCACGATTCGAAAATGCCACGTCGCTCTCGAACGAAACGGCACGTAAACGCTTAAAGAACGAGGAGCGGGGAGAGGGAGGAACGGGGAGAGCACAGTGAAGGAGGAGCGGGGAAAAGGTTGAGGGAATGGCCAGCTGGGGTCTCGCCAATCTCTCTTTCCCTCACTGTCTTCTTGTTTGTTTCTCTCTCTCTCTCTCTGAGTCTCTCTCTCTCTCTCTCGTCCTGTGTGTGTTCACGTGATCCGTGGCCACCCGACACTCTCCCTCCGACAGCAGGCGCTGTACTGCGTGCTGCCTGTGGGCTGGCACCCGGCCGCCGACACTTGTTTCGAGGCGGCGTCTGGTGCCCCGGCTGCCTGGCCATGGCAACTTCGGACCCCCGGCAGCCGCTCGGGGCGCTCTGCTCTCCCGGAAGACGTCCGTGACCTGGCGCAGCTTCTGGAGAGCACTCCGAGGCCAGAGGCCCTCCGGGGGCCCACGGAGGCGCCGGGAGAAGCTCGAGCCTCGGTCGACGCCTGCCGGGGGAACGCCCACTCCTTGGCTTCCGCCGACGTGTTCCTTTTTGACGCGCCGCCCCAGAGGCTCCGACGCCCTCCCAAGGGGGGTAGAATGTCTCGTCAAGGGCTCGGATGTTCATGGCATGGTCTGGGGGGCCTGGCAGTGGGCCTCCGAGGGCGGAATCAGAACAAAACGCTGGGTTTGAACAATACAGCGGAGGCCAGTCCAGAAGAAAGCTTCCACAAGAAACCCAACTCTGAGACCCCAAGACGTCCATAGATCTTTAGTGTGGGAACGTCACGCTTTCCACAGCAAAGGCATCGACACCCCAGAAACCCAGGGCACCCTGGAGGCAAGCAGGGTGTTTCTTGGCATGGGCATCCACTGCAAAATGTCTCGTCCCGGAATCGGATCTTCATGGCATGGCCCGTGTACGGCCCGACAGCGGGTCTCAGAGGCCGAAGTAGCGAAACACAACGCTACAGTCAACCCGCATCATAAAGATGCAAGGGGAGCATTTTTTCATTCGGCGTTTCGACATTGGGCGGAAGGGGGGGGAGAGGAGGGTGGGTCTCGCTCTGGACCTCTGCTCAATGCGACTGTCTGCAGCAGTGCGTCCAGTGGGAGGGGGACCCCCCCTGCCTGGAACAGGCGCCAGCAACAGCCAAGATCTACTCCATAGGGGGGGAGGGCAAGGCGGGGTGCGAGGGCTCGCGCCGATCGGCACAACCGTGAGCAAGACAGCGATCACCAGGTCGGCGCTGCTCGAGCGAGGCTGGCCGGCGACAGCCGCCGAGGATGGGCCGAAGGGGCAGGGCTGCGATGGGGTACCCCAGGGGAAGGTGGCCCAGCCTGACTGTGCGGGTTGCCTGCCGTCTGCCGGCCCCCTGCTCGTGGGGGGGGGAGGGAGGCGACTCCACTTCCAGAGGTTCCCGAGGCGACTCCACTTCCACTCCACTTCTCGATGTCCAGAGGACATCGAGAGGAAGAAGAGGAAAAACGATAGAGAAAAAGCTCGGGAACCTCTGGAAGGGGAGACGGCGGGAGGGAGGCGTGTGAGACGATTGGCTGCTCCCCTCCCCTGCACTTGGTGTCTGAGGTCCGCCTCGGAGGGACGGGGCCCCCCCGGGGGGGGCGGGTGGGGGCTCGAGCCCCCGAGCGCAGCCCCCGGCGCCTCCAGAACCCCTCCAGAGCGCCAGGACGGCCCAAGAGTGCCCAACCAAAAGCACCACGACAATCCACATGGCCCAAGGTAGGCCCACGACGATCCCAGATGGCCTCGAGACGGCCGACGTGGCCCCCACGACGGCCTACAAGTGCTCCCAGAGGACCGCCGAGAGAGGCCTGTGGCGCACCCTTCGTCCCATACGTAAGCGTCTGGCATGTTTCGACTTCACGGCGTCCAAGACTGCCCAAGGGGCCGCAAGATCGTCCCAAGATGGCCCCTGAGAGCGCCAGGAGCGCTCCAAGACGGTCCAGGAGAAACCTAAGAGGACCCCCAGAGGGCGCCAAGACGGCCCAAGGGGCCTCGAAGGCGGCCAAGCAGGGCCCCAAGAGGGGCAATACGAACTGACATCTCGAGCCTTTCCCGCCGTGATCGCCCCGAGAGCCCACAGGCCTCCAAGAGGCCTCCAAGAGGCCTCCAAGAGGACCCCGAGACGCTCCCAGGAAGCCCCCGAAGAGGCCCCCCCAGAGAGCCGACGAGATGCCCTCCGAGAGGCCCCCGGAGAGGCACTCCAGGAGACCCTCACCTGCACTCCCCGCGGCTGCTGACCTGGGCCCCGGCACGCCAGGGCCTGAGGCCCGCGCCTCACCTGCACTCCCCGTGGCTGCCGGGCCCCCCAGGCCAGGCACGGTGGCGCGACCCTGCACGACTTCATCACTGCCGTGGGGGCCGGCGGAAGGGCGCAGGCCTCTGCATCATACCCTGGAGGCCAGGCCACAAGAAACCCAGCCCTGAGACCCCAGGACGTCCGTGGATTTGAGGTGTGGGAAGGTCACGCTTTCTTTACCCAAGGAACACAGGGCACCCTGGAGGCAAGCAGGGTGCTTCTTGGCATGGCATGGGCCCCGACGGTACGGTCGGAGATCTGGGCCAGATGAACCTCAGGTCCTGCAGATCATCGCCACTCGGGCGCCCAGAGGCCGGTGGAAACACGCTCTGTCGGAGCAGGGCGAGCTGCAGCAACGGCAGCTCCACCTCGGTTCCCGGACCCCCCCCGGGGCCCAAACGCCACGGCTTGCCAACTACCCTTATCCCAACTATAGAAGATATGTTTTTTTTATTATAACAAAGCCATGTGTGTCTCCTTTGTTTAAACAAGAAATAAGGCATACACATCAGTTTTTGGCGCTCCGCACGGGTTTCTTGAGTCTGCGTTGGACCCCCCTCCCTTGAGCGCGTTTGTTGATGTTCGGCGACGATGACGGGCGTCAAGGGGGGGAGGGGGGCGGGGGGGGTGTATGACGTAACGCCCGCCCCCGCCGTGTGGCTTCGGCACCACAGCCGCGCCCGCGCGCACGACGCGACGAGCGACAAGCGACGACGACGACAACGATGCGAGCAGCATGTAGGTGGCGATCTGCCACATTGCGCCAGTGTACATCACAGCGCTCGCATGCACCACAACGCTCGCGTACACCACAGCGCCTGCGTACACCGCAACAGTCGTGTGCAACGCAGCGCCTGGGTACACCTGAGTGTGCTTGCGTACACTACAGCGCGGGTGTACATTCGTACACCGCAGCAACCACGTGCAACACAACGCAGGTGTACACCACAATGCTTGCGTGCACCGCCGCGCCTGTGCACGCCACAGCGCCTGTCTACACCACAGCATCCGCGTGCAACGCAGCGCTGGTGTACACCACAGTGCCTGCGTGCATAGGACAGGTAGAAGGAGCATGTACGTGAGGATCTGTTGCGGACAACTAAACACCACGCCAGGAAAGTGCTAACAATCCAATGCGTTCTTCCCTCCTCCCTCCTCCTCCATTTCCACCTCTTGTTCCTCCTCCTACTCTGCCTCCTTGCCCCCTGTTGTGCGGGTTGGCGCTACATCGCACGTGCGCATCTCAGCGTGCACCGCGGAATAGTCTTTTGAATCGGTCCACTTGGTTCTCGGACGCTCAATTTAAGTGGAGCCTCCTCGATGCAAATCGGAAAAGTTAGGGTGATGCGGGCGGATTCGGGAGGACTCGTAGATTCCAGCGGCGCTCCTTTGTCAATAAGGATTCCTTTCTATTGTTTTCTGTGGAATCAAAAGGATTTCCTTTAACATTCCATGTGCAACAAAAGTGCTGTGTTGCATACTGCTGCTGTGGTGCACACGGGCGCCGTGGTGAACCCTGGTGCTATGTTGCACATGGCTGATGTGGCGTACGCAAGCGCTGTGGTGTATACAAGAACTGTTGTGCCCGCAGGCACGGTGGCACAAACTGACGCTGTGTTGCACGCGGCTGCTGTGGTGTACGTAGGCGGTGTGGTGTACACAGGTGCTGCGGTGCACGCAAGCACTGTGGTGTAAACAGGCGTTGTGGCGTTGTGGTGCAGATCGCCACGTACATGCTGGTGCTACCCATCCTCCGTCATTCCTAGGCATTCCCAGACGCCGCCACTCCCCCCCCAGATGATTGCCGTCAGCGGCCCGGAATAATAAACAGGCTCCAGCCGCGCCCGCGCGCACGACGACGATGAGTGACGAGCGACGAGCCACGATCGACGAAGAGGAGCGACGACGACGACGACGTTGACGACAACGACGACGACAACGACGACGACGACGACGACGACGACGACGACGACGACGACTGCGGACCAAACTCCTATGCGGATTCCTACGCGGACACCTGCGCGGATCCCAATGCGCACGGCGGCAGTGCCCGGAGCGCACTGGGAGGGGAGCGTTACGTCATAGGGGGGGGGAGCGGGGGCCATGACGCCCGTCATGCCCCACGCAATAAAAAACAGGCTCCTGGCGCGCAGGAGCGGCGCCAGAGGCGCCGCCAAGTGGGGCCCAGCGCAGATCGGAGAAATACGCGCGCAGCGCCAAAAGTTTTGTCGATGTGGTTCTTGCGTCTTCGAACGCTGGTCCAACACACATCCTGAAGATCACCGCCCCTCAGGCGCCAGGCCTTGGGCCACTCCGGGGCGATCTCCACACACCGCCCCGCGTCCGCGATGGCGGCCTCCGCGCTGCCGGCCTGCAGGTGCGCCGCGGAGCGGTTCGAGTGCAGCGTGTGGCGTTCCGCGTCCGCGCGGGGCGCCGCCGCGATGGCGGCGGTATACTGCGCGACGGCGCCCGCGAAGTCCTTGTCCTCAGAGGAGAAGAAGATCGGGCATTGGTAGAACTGGGTTTAGTAGAACCTGGTTTAGTGATCTGTACGGGGGGCGCCCCCCCGTCCAATTTCCACTAACCGGAACTGCCGTCACCCGAAAAAACACCAGCTATGGCAAACCTGGTTTAGTGATTCTGGCCACTTCAAAGGCTCCGGGGCCCTACCACTAACCGGGTCCCCTTACCTGGGGTCCTGTCCATACCCGAGAAGGTTCGGGTTGACCCAAAAGGGGGTCCAGCCCAGCGACAAGGGGGTGGTGCAATAGATTTGGTGCAATATATCTGTGGGGTTGCAATACACTTGGGGCGTGCAATACATTCTGGGACGCAAATGTATTGCTGGATTTTCGCGTGAAATGCATTACTTGCAATACATTGCAATACAGTTCTCTGGCGCAACACATTTGCAATACCATTGCCCCTAATCTATTGCACCACCCACCCCCTTTCAGCTGGACCCCATGTTGGGCCACTGGGAAAGATCTGCCACCGAGCCGCGAGGTAGGTACGAGTTGGGGCGCCCTCAGGTCCACTACACTCTGCAGGGCTCCCGATCCGAAGATCTCTCAAACATGTTCGGGGGGCTTCCGGCGCGCCTCCCGCGGCTCCGGGGCCCTTCCCGCACTGCTCGTTCGGGGCCACGAGCGCACCAAAACGGGTCACGAGGGCCCCGAGAGGCCTGAGGATCGCGCCGCATCGCCGATTCATCGCAAATACATCGGCGATGCATCGGCGAGGCACCAGCGACGTCGGCGGTGCATCGGCGCCGTCGGCGTGAAGAAAGTCGGGCTCCACATCAAGCTTCATCGCCGATGTATCGGCGATGCGGCGCGATCCTCCGACCCCATCTGCTCGGACCCCATCTGGGAGGCCACGAGAGAGGCCTCTGAACTACAACCCAGGCAGGGTGGCCGAATGAGCCGAAGGCCAGCAGACTCCTATTTATGTGTGCCGATGCCGCTGGGCTGCGCGTCCTGCAGAGCCCCCGTCGCCACGGCTGGCTCCTCCTTGAGATTCTGCTCAGACTGCCCCCCCCGAGAGGTCCGGGAAGTAACCGAGACAGCTCTTTAAAACCCCGCCCCCAATCGTGGAACCGACTTATCCGCTCGACGCCCTTATTGACCCACTGGGGTGCCACCAATAATCATTGGGAAATCAGTATTTCTCTGCGGCACTCGCCGCGCAACAACGACGACGACGACGATTACGACGAGCGTAACAACTACGATGATGACGACTACGGCTACGATTACGACGACTACGAGGAGGAGGAGGAGGAGGAGGAAGAGCAGCAGTAGGAGGAGGAGCAGGAGGAGGAGGAGGGGCGGAGTTCTTCCCCCGCCGAGCGAAACAACAAAGGGGCAGAAGGGGGGATCCCCCCCAAACTCGGGACCTCCCGAGGCCAACGCTGCCCGCCCTCCCCTCCTCGCCTCCCCGCGTCCTTCATGCACTGCGCCCCGCTCCGCCTCGCCTCCGCGACCAGCTCCTCCCACCTGCGGGCAGCTCCCTGGGCCCCGTCGCGCCGTGCGCAGGGCACCCTATGGGGAACGGCCTCGGGGCCGCTCCCCGGCCTCCGCCCGGGGGCCCCCCGCCGGGCACCGGGACCGTGACACCCGAGCAGAAGTGAGAAGCTGGGAGGCGCGAAGTGGCAGGGAGCGATGCCTTGAGGGCAGGACATCCACCCCCGCAATGCTCACCCCGCCCCGACAAGCGAGGCCGTTCAGGAAACGCCCCCAGGGAGGGGATCGAACAGGGCAGGGCTGTTTAGAACACGCCCAGGGCCGTTCAGTAAGCGTCGGTTGTCGGGTCGGGGTGGCTTTTCTTCCCTTGGAAAAATGGTGGGGGAAAAGAGGTGCCCTTCTCAAGCCCCAAAGGCTCCCGCTCGGGGCCCGAAAGGGCCCCTTTAGGGGCCCTAAGGGGCTCCTTTCTGCAGCCCTCGCTGCCCCCCCCCCCCCCCCCATGTATCGGGGATGGACAGAACCCCATTTAGCAAAACGTGGCTTAGTGAGAACGACCTCGGGCCCAAACCTGGCGGGCGCAAGCCTGGAAAATGACGGCCGCGGCACCCTCTCGAGAACCGAACACGGACAACTCACCAATCGACGTGTCAGAGGGGGGGGTCTGTCCACCCCAAATCTAACGCCTCCCCTTTACTCGGACTCGGACTCGGACTCGGCTCCGCGCGTGTGGCGCCGTGAAGGCTCGGCGCCTCCCTTCTACGCGCCCCACAAGGAGCCGGTCCTGGGGAAGGGGTCGGGTGTTTGGGAGTCGGCATTGCGAGACGTCACGACGTCGGGAATCTGGGGAGACGAGCAGGCGAAGAGCAGAGCAGCACATAAGCTTTTCCGCCCTCGGGAGCCCCTGTCCCACGACAGCTGGGACTTCTATACATACATACATATATATATATGTATATATATATAATATGTAGACACACACCTGCCGCCGTGGAAGAGAAACTTCCCAGCCGCCCTGGGACAGGCGAGCAGTATGGTGGCAACCCATGGGGCCTCACCGTTCTTCACCCCCTTAGACCCGGGGGGGGGGGGAGGACAGTGGATCTGGGGGGAGGAGGAGGGGGAGGAGGAGGGGGAGGAGGAGGAGGAGAGGGAGAGGATAGAGGAGGAAGGAGGAGGGAGGAGGAGGGAGGAGGAGGAGGGGAGGAGGAGGGAGGAGGAGGGGGAGGACAGTGGATCTGGGGGGACAACCAGGAGCCTGACATCGACGATGCACGGCCGCCAGGGCGGCGGCAGGATCCCGAGATGGGGAAACCGCCCACGGATCTGGGGCACCCCCCGGGCCCCGATCGGCGGCGGAATGGGCGACTGCGGGCTTGGTGCCCCCCCCCGCCTGAGCCCCTTCCCCCCCCCCCCCCCAGCGATCCTCGACGTCTGGCTTTCGGGTCCTGCGGTGGAGGTCCGACCACGAGAAGCCCTCCACAAGAAACCCAACCCTGAGACCCCAGGACGTCCATCGATTCTTTGGGGTGGGAGCATCACGCCTCCCACCAGCAAAGCCATCGAAACAAAGGAAACCCAGGGCACCCTGGAGGCAAGCAGGGTGTTTCTTGGCATTGGGCCTCCACTGTACCTCGAGCCTCCGGCGAACTCGCGTCTCCGACGGCCCTTCGGGACAACCTGGGCACCTCTGGATGCCCCTCGGCGAGGCGCACCCGCTGGAGGGGGGCACCCCGAGGCCGGAAACAATCGGGAAGGGTAGGCGAGAACGTCCAGAAAACCTCTGACCTCGGAAAACACCTGCGCAGTGAAGCACACACATACACACACGCACATTGGGCCAACAGTTTGGGTCACCGCGGTGTTGTTACGGAGATAAGGGGGGTCAGAAGGGGATGCCATGCAGGGTAAGATCTGGCCAAACTGGCTTCTAAATGGGTTGGGAATGTCTCAAGTTGGCTGGATGGGTGGTACAATGCCTACACGCAGGCGCAACCCCCTTAGCCCCGATCCTAGCCTCAATAAGCCTCTTAGGGCACTTCCAACCCACTTATGAACTGAGTTAGGCCATGTAAGCCACCTCGGCGGTACCTGATAAGCCCGATATCCCCTTAGCTACCACCGCGGTGTCGCTTAAAACCGAAGAAACCGTAGGAGAACCGAGCACCTCCAGATGCCTCTCGACGAGGCGCAGCTGCTGGAGACCACCCCGAGGCTGGTAACCGTCCGAGAAGACTCTGCGAAGAGGTACTGGAAACCTTTACTGAACCTCGAACGACACATGCCGGTGGAAGCACACACAGATACACATACACACCTTTTGGCCTCGCGGCCACGCGAGCGGCGGCGCGAGCGCTCGGCGGGCTCAGATCACGCGGCGTGAGGACACAGGATCCGCGCATGGGGATCGGGGGGAAGGAGGAGGAGGAGGAGGAGGAGGAGGAGGAGGAGGAGGAGGACGAGGAGGGGGAGGAGGAGGAGGAGGAGGAGGGGGGGGGAGGAGGACGAGGAGGGGGGGAGGAGGAGGAGGAGGAGGAGGAGGAGAGGAGAGGAGGAGGAGGAGGAGGAGGGGAGGAGGAGGCAGGAGGAGGAGAGAGGAGGAGAAGGCCGGATAGAGGGCGACGAGGAGGAGCGGGGGAGAGGCGGTAAGCACCGCGCACGGCACGCCGAGAAGGTCGAGGCGCAGCATGGGTGCCGCAGAAGGCAGGCCGCGTGGGAAGAAGCGACGGGCAGAGCCCAACCAAGCACGCACACACACACACACACACACCACACGCACACGCACACGCACACACACACACGCACACATGAACACATACACACACACACACACACACGCACGCACGCACGCACGCACGCACGCATACACATACACACACAAACACAAACACAAAACACACACACATACACACACGCACACACACATACACACAAACACAAACACAAACACAAGCGCACACACACACGATCACACAAGCACACACACACACACACGCACGCGCACGCACGCACGCACGCACGCACGCACGCACGCACGCACGCACGCACGCACGCACGCACGCACGCACGCACGCACACACACACACACACACATACACACGCGGTTCGGCCTCGCAGCCCTGCGCGCACCGACAGGGCAGGCACAAATCGTAGAACAGCAGCCGCACGCGCGAGCGTCTTGAAGCGCCCGAGCCCTGCAGACTGCTTCGGGTCCAGCAGCAGCCGCCCGCCACAGCGAACACACATCCCGAGGACCCTCGCCTAAAGAGCGGCGGAGCCCCTGGAAAACCCTGATCGCGCCACTGGCACCCCTGCCGCTTTCGATCTGGAAGACGGATCCAGACATTCGAACATCGATAACTCCAGGGAACATTTGTATGATCCCGCCTGGGCCCCGAACTCTCTCTTATCTCCAGGGTCCAGGGGATTATTCTCACCAGCGCATGGTCCCAGACCCCCGACGTCGTGATTATGTCATGACGCGACCTCTTAGAGGTCTGGACCCCTCCCCCGGGACCCGTTTCTCATCCCGGGTCGCGTTTTGACGGCCCCGAGTCCCGGGAAGGGCACCCGGAGGCCGAACATAGCGCAAAACCTCTTCCGCGGTGATTTCTTCCAGGAGGAAGAAGGAAAGGCGACACCAACACCAACAGGGCGAGGAGATGCGCGGAGGCAAGGGGGGTCTACCTGGCGGTATGGTCCCCCCTCTCTCGCTCGAGACATCCCCAGTCTCGCGCTCGGGAAGGCATCGTGGACCTCCTCGCTGGAGGTGGGCCCCCTGGTGGTGTTAGCATCGCTTCTCCTCCCTCCGATTCCAGACTCGAGGGCGTCTGGGCTTTCACGGTGCGCGCCCCGCGGCCACCCCGCCGCGCCCTCCGCCGGCGCCTCCTCCGCGGCCGGCGCCGCGGCGGCGGGCGGCGGCGGCGGCACCGCGGGCGCCAGGACCCGGGTGCCGCTCAGGGCCCGGTAGAGGCCGTGCACCGCCGTCCTGGCGGCGCGGCGGGGAGGGGCGCCGGGCCCGGGGCTCCGACGCCGCGAAGCAGTGGCAACAAACATGTGTAGGCACCCGCGCCCGGAGCCCACCTGTATCCGCGTCCTTTCTCTCGGGCCGGATCGAGGTGTGAGGGCCCCAGGACCCGAGAGAAGGCGAAAGCGCCCGGCTCGAAAAAAGTGAGGCGCCAGGATCTCCAGACCCCCGACGCCATGATTTTTTTCTTCATGGCGCGACCCCCAGAGGTCCGGACGTCCGTTCCCCAGGACCGGCTCTTCATCCCGAGTCGTTTTCTGACGGCCCCGAGGCCGGGCGCGGGCCCCCATGAAGCCGTTAACATGGCGAAACGCGCCCGACGTCGTGGTTATTTTTCGGGACTCGAGGGGGTCTGGGCCTCCTGGGGGGGGCGGGGGCACCGCGCGGCCGTGCGCCCGGCCGCGGGCCCGAGCTCCCCGGGCCCCGCGGGGGGGGGGGGCCCTCGCCCGGCAGCGGGGCCCGCGCCTCGGGGGTGCCATGCCGTGCCCCCTCGGAGGCGGGCCCGGAGCCCCTCGCGTGGGGAGGAAACATCACGACGGGAGGTTCGTCGCCACGGTTCGGTCGGGCCTGCCCCCCTACAGGGGGGATCTGGGGCGAAGCATTTGAAAAATACAAAACAACACCCGCACGACCAAGGAAAGTCAAAACATCGTCCCCTGATTATTCTTGGACTATTTTTGAATATCCCTCCTGTAGAGGGACAGGCCCGACTAAACGCTACGGTGTGGGCAGTGGATAAAGAGCCCTCAGATCTAAGGAATCCAGGGTCTGGAAGCCAGGGGAACTCCAATCGTGCATCGCCCATGGATATCACTGCCGCCCTCATTGGATAAGGAATCCTCCAGGGTCTGGCGCCTCCTGGGACTATTCCTTAACAAACGCCTCCACCGTATTCTCAGCCTCTGCAAAGCGCCCTCACCGGCCATCGGGACCAACCCAAGAACGACTCGGGATGAAAAACCAGTCCCGGGGAAGGGGTCCAGACCTCTAAGAGGTCGCGTCATGACAGAATCACGACGTCGGGGGTCTGGGGAGGGACTCCTCGAGGTCGGCATCGAGACCGGGTGATGCCACTCGAAGGGGCTGGGCGAGGTTTTCAGGCTGGCAGAACAGGGGGGCGGGGGGTCTACTTAGACCTCCACAGGGTTGCAAGGCCAATGCGCTGCGGAAGAGGGCTCGCCATCGTCGTCGGGCGTTCATCAGGGGGAGCGATCAATCGATCAATGGAGGGGCGTAAAAGAAGGTGCACCCTTATTGCCCTTTTCGGGCCCCAAGCGCACCTTGCTTAACCCCCCCATGTGTCAGACCCCCATTGATTAATCCAAGAAGGACCCCTAACCCTTTGGGAGGGGACCTAAGTTAGGAGAGCCAAAAACATTAAGTATAGGGGGTCTTTGCTGCAGAGGCCACGTCTGCACTGTGTTATGAAAGGCCTCTTGGATGGGGTCTCAGTAGATGGGGTCGGAGGATCGTGCCGCATCGCCGATGCATCGGTGATGCACCGGCGACGCATCGGGGATGCACCGGCGACGCATCGTCGACGTCGGCGACGCATCGGCGACGTCGACGTGAAGCAAATCGGGCTCCACATCGAGCCGCATCGGCGACGCATCGGCGATGTGGCGCGATCCTCCGACCCCACCTCCATCTGGGCCTCGAGTTCTCAGGGTTAGGGGCTCTCTTGCTCTCGATGCCCCATCACTCGATGCCCGACGGTGTCGGCCCCGACCCTCGCGGCCCTCGCCGGGCCCGGGACCGTCGACAGCGACGGCGCTCGGGACGGGACGGGACGCCGGGGGGCCCCGCGCGGGCCCTCCGGCGTGCGGGAGGCACGCAGAGGCAGCGTCCAGGCACCGTGCCACGTCTGGACACCGTGTCCGCACCAACGCGGAGATTACCCCTGACTGAGAAGGCGAAAACCCGCCCCCACCCCCAGTTCCGACTCCACCCCCGAACCCGCGATTCAAGGAGTCGGGACTGGGGGTGGGGGTAGGTTTTCGGGGTCCTGGAAGGGAGAAAACCCACCCCCACCCCCAGTCCTGACCCCTTGAATCGCCGGCTCGGGGATGGGCGTTGGGACTTGGGGCGGGGGTGGGTTTTCGCCTTCCGACTGATACCCCGGCGACGCAAGGCTTCCACGCAAGTGGGGGGGGGGCCCAGGGCTCTGGTCGTGATTCTTTGCGATGTTGCATTCCTTTTGCAACGTCGGACCTCAGGTCAGGTCGGGCCTGTCCCCCTACAAGGGGATTTTGGGCGAACAGTCAAAGGTAGGAACAAACATACTCCAAAAATGCTAAAAAATACTCGGAAAAAGCGTCCCCATATCATGTATTTACTATTTTTGAATATTCCTCCTGTAGAGGGACAGGCGCGACTTACGTTTGCCGTGTATTGGGCCTCTGTAGTGGGTTGCTTGAAGTACCCCAAGCCCAGGGTGCCATTAGGTCGGGCATGTCCCCGTACAGGGGGATTTTGGACGAACAGTTGAAAAACAAGCCCCAAGAACCCCACCAATCTTCAAAAATTGCCAAAACATCGTCCTCAGAGTATGTTTGTACTATTTTTGAACATTCCCCCTGTAGAGGGACACGCCCGACTTAAAGGTACCCCCAGGATTCTCGGGGTGGCCCAGACGGCCTCCGGGGCACCCCTCACGAGGCCCAGAGGGCACTGGGGGGCCCCAAGAGGGAGCGAGAAGCTGGGGGCACCTTGGGCCAGGGGCACTTCTAGGACCGCCCACCTCTGGGACCTTTTGCCGGACCCCGCGACCGTCAACAGAACGACTCAGGATGAAGAGACGGTCCTGGGGAAGGGGTCGGGACGTCCACGGACCCCGTATTGCGAAAGCGGGGTATCGCAAAGTCCGTACATCTACGAGCATGATGCGCATGTTCCGTAGATTCGACGAGAAAATCACATGTGGGGTAAATGAATTATGTAACTAGGTCGGGCATGTCCTCTGATAGGCGGACTTTGGAGGAAACGTAACGAATAGTCCCAAATTGCTGAACACTAATCCAGAGAGCACGAAACACCGTCCCCAGACTACTTTGTTGACCATTCTCGCATGTTCCTCCTGTAGCGGGACATGCCCGACCTAATTCTGCAGTCGATACCGTCAACCCGTATCATAGGGATGCGCGGTAAGGATGCATGGGCCATGGAGGCCCATGTGAACGTTTTTCGCACGCGGTTGGCCAGCGCAAGTCGCTAAGGATGGGCCGAGGAGGCTGGGTGCAAGGGTACCCTTGGGAAGGTTGCTCCTCCTTACTATGCGGGTTAACTGCAGTCTGTCGACCCCCGCTTGTCGCGGGGGGAGAAGGCGTATGAGATGATTTGCTGTTCCCCTCCCCCTGCAATTGGGTTCAGCAATCCGACTCGGAGGGACGGGCCCGGGGTGGGCGATCGGGTCCTCGAGCTCCCGAGTGCAGCCCTCGGCGCCTCCAGAACCTCTCCGGAGCGCCAGGACGGCCCAGGAGGGCCCAAGCAGACCGCCAAGACAATCCACATACGCGTCGCGATGGCCCAAGGTAGCCCCACGACGGTCCCAGATGGCCTCGAGACGGCCCAGGTGGCCCCCACGACAGCCCACCGATGCCCCCAGAGGGCCGCCAAGAGAGGCCTGCGAGGCACACTCCGTCCCACACGCCATGCCCCGCACGGCGCCCAAGACTGCCCAAAAGGCCCCCGAGGTCGTCCCAAAACGGCCCGTGATAGGGGGCAAACAAACCTACCTCGCTTTTGACCACCCTCGCTTCCAAGAGATACCAAGCGATACCAAACTACGGCCTTTACTGGTCAGGCCGCTTGACGAGGAGGCGCGTGGTATGACTTGGTATTGCCTGGAAGCGAAAGCGGGGTAGGTAATTCACGCTCTGACGTGAGAGCGCCAAGAGGGCCCCAGGACGGCCCGAGGAACACCTAAAAGAGGGCCCCCCGGAGGGCCCCACGACGGGTCGATTGCACCCTGCTCGAGCCACGGGCGCCGCGCCCCCGCGGGCCTGAGGCCGCCGCCGGGGACCGGCGGCCGCTCCGCGCCGCCGTCGCCCGTCCAGACGGCGCAGCTCTCCGCCGTCGAGGTCCCCAGGACTGCCCCCGCCTCTCGGCTGCACGCGTGCGGCGGCGGCGGCGGCGGCGGCGGCGGCGGCGACGACGACGACGACGACGACGACGACGACGACGAACACGACGAACACGACGACGATGACGACGACGACGAGGACGAGGACGAGGACCAGGACGACGACGAGGACGACGACGACGACGGCGACGGCGGCGGCGGGCGGCGGCGACGACGACGACGACGACGACGACGGCGGCGACGACAATGCGACGTTGAGGAGGAGGACGACGACGAAGAGGAGGCTCTGGCGGGCCCCCGCCGCTCGTACCCAGACGGGCCCCCCGCCGGAGCGGCCCCAGGCAAGACTGGCTTCCCTGGTGCGCAGCCTCAGGAGGCCGCGGGGAAGATCAAGCCAAGCGCACGTTCGGTGGCAACTCATGGGAGCTTCCCATACCATCTTGTCGGCTCTTGCGAATCGACGCTGATCGACGCTACTCGACGCTAATCGATGCTAAATCGACGCTAATCGACGCTAGCCGACGCTAAGTCGGCGCTATCTCATCGACTCCCAAGTGCTTACCGACGCTAATCGACGCTAGAGACGGGCACGCCAGGCTCCCATGATTTGCTACCGCAAGCACGGGCCGGTGCTGGAAGAACCCCTGTGAGCCCGCACCAGAAGTCACTTCGGCGAAAGGTCACTCTCACGCGTAGTCGAGAGGGGGGAGAAGGGAGAGGGAGAAGGCCCTCTCGGGAGGCACAGAGACTTCTCAGAAACCCTCGCGCCTTCTGAGATGCTTCTTGTGCGCCTTCTGGGAAGGCATACTTGGATCACCGCGGGGGTTGCTAAGTGGATAGGGGGTAACAAGTAGATGCTAAGGTGGGTCATATCTGGCAAACCTAGCTTATTAAGTGGGCCCACAAAACCCTGAATAGCTTGCGATGGTTCCCTCATTCCGCTAAGCGGCCGGACACTGCTTCGCCTGGATCGTTACCCCCCTAATCCACCCAGGGCGCTTCTGACCCACATCTACGCCGCGTTGGGCCATCTATGAGCCACCTTGTCATCCACTTCTATCCCCCCTTTCCACTCAGCAACCCCCGCGGTCATCCCAATAGAAACCTTCTAAGGATGCCGGGAGACTTCCGAGTCTTCTTAGAAGGCCCGCCCATTCGCACTTCCCCCCGGGCTCGCCGTCGCCGTCGTCGCCGTCGACGCCGTCATCGTCGCCGTCGTCCTCGTCGTCGTCGTCGCCGACACCGCCGCCACCGCCGCCGCCGCCGTCGTCGTCGTCGTCGTCGTCGTCGTCGTCGTCATCGTCGTGGCCGTCGTCGTCGTCGCCGTCGCCTGGGCCGTCGCCGTCGTAATAGTCGTCGTCGTCGTCGTCGTCGCCGTCGTCGTCGCCGTTGTCTTCGCAGTCGTCGCAGTCGTCGTCGTCGTCGTCGTCGTCGTCGTCGTCGTCGTCGTCGTCGTCGTCGTCGTCGTCGTCGCCGAGCCTCGCCCGCCGCGGCGTCGCACTCGCCGCCGAGCAGGTCGCGGGCGACCTGCCCGGGGGCTCGGCAGTGTGCGCTTCTGTGCTTGGCCCCGGCGCCTCCCTCCCGGACTGCGCCCTCCCAGGGCTCCTCGCTGGGGGGCCACGCTAGGAGGAGAAGGAGGAAGGGAAGGAGGAGGAGGAGGAGGAGGAGGAAACACATTTCGGGAGGAAAAATCGATATGTACGACCTGAAGTGCGCGCCAGACAGATCGGAGAAAGGTGCGCCCTCCCCTGGGAGCCCCGAATTGTCTTCGCTCTACAATTTGCGGTGAGATTCCAGGAGTTTGAATCTCTCGGTGAGGCTAAGTCTCGAGAACGATATGATATCTACTGCTGCTGTACTCTTGCTACGTTGCGTGCGCGTGCAAATCGCGTGCTGTACATCTGCTCTGCGAGGGGGGGGCCGAGGTCACTTCAGGAGGAGGAGGGGGGAACAATGACAGGAAAGGATCATTCACTGGGCGTTCCTCGCCCCGACCATCTCTGACTGTCGACCGACCACGCTCGGCAGTGACGTGCGCCACACTGTCTGACACTGCGACCGTCACCGCGCCCCTCGAGCGGCCTGACGCGGAGGCCGTCGCACCCACTGGTCTCGTCGCACTCGCTGAGGCCGTCACATCATCTGGTCCATCGCCATCTGTAGGAGCCGCTCCTGATGTCCTCTGGGCGCAGGCCCGACCTTGAGCTCCGCCCCGAGATGATCGGCGCACTTCAGAAAGCTCTGCTCCATGGCGGTATCGCTGAGGCTGAACACGAGCTTCGCCTGGTTCTCCTTCCAGCACGGGGACACGCGGCAGCCTCCCACCACCATCGTCAACGTGTCGATCGGCATCGGCTCGAGCGCGGCGTAGTGCGTGGCCCACTCGTCCTTGTTGCGGCCGCCCACGCGATCGCCCCCCTCCTTCACTGCCAGCGCGATCTGCAGGAACACCTGGACGCACGCGGGCCCCATGATGAACTCGGGCGGCTTGTTCTTCGTCGGGTCCGAGAGGTAGAAAGCCCGCTGCTTCTGCGCCTCCAGCAAGTACGCCTTGCCCGCGGCGAAGCCCGCCACCGCCAGCGCGTTGTCCTCGTTCACCACCAGTGCGCGGTAGGTGGTGGCCATCAGCTGCCTGATGTTGAACGAGTTGCCGAGCGCGGCCTTCGCGAGCACTGGGATGAGCTTGAGCGCCATCTGCATCTCCATCGGCGGCAGGCGGCCCAAGGCGTCCTGCGGGCTCGGACTGCATCTCGCGTCGACCGCCTCGACCGCGAGGCCCTGGCACAGCGACTTCGGCCCCTCTGGCCGCCGACGGCGGCTGCTGCTGGGCGGGGGCTGCGGCGCGGCTGTCGGCGCTGCGGCCTCCTCCGCGCGCGCGGCGGTGCTGCGCTCCACGGCTGACATTCTCGGAGCCACCGCGGCCACCTCGCCCAGCAGCGACTCGGCGACAGTGGGAGCGTGAGCGCCCCTTGGCGGCGTCCTGCAGCGCCTGCTGGCTCAGGCGGAAGGCCATGCGCACTGCCTGCGCCCGCTGGGGCGCGTCGCGGCAAGGGCCGAGGCGCGCGCCGCTCGAGCAAGTGCACCTGCAGGGCCGCGAGGTCCTCGAAGGGCTCCCCCATGGAACATGCGAACTCGAGGGACCTTGAGCCTGGCACGAGGGCTGAGACCGCGATGGAAGCCAGGGGGCACATCAGAGACTGGGGCTCCTCAGCCTGGTGGAAGTAGGGCGACCGCTGAACTGGGCATCGGCGATTCAAACAGGCTGCGACCGCATGCTCCTGAGCAATCCGACGAGTCCTGAATGCACTGGAGCAGAACAGACATTGGTTGGTGACGACGATGGAGTGAAGAACGGACCGACAACCATGGCCTGCATGTTTGAGAAACTTCTGGCGAGCGATCAACGCGCGCCGAGTGGCGAACCCGCGCCCGCACACGACGCCCTCGGCATCCAGCAGCTCGCAGCTCCAGGCCGCCGTCGGCGGCGGGGGCACCCCCGCGCCGTCAGCAGGCGGACGCCAGCCAGGCGGTGGGATCGCCACAGTGCGCGCTTGAGCGCGCAGCAGACCAGGGCCCAGCGCCAGGTAGCCGTCGCGCAGGTCCTCGCAGGAGAACAACGCGATCACGTTCAGCGAGCCACCAGGCGTCCGCAGATCCTCGCGCAGCTCCGCCGCCTCGGCGGCCTCCAGCAGCGCCTCCACGTCCGCGACGAACCGCAGCGCGTACGGGTTGACCCCGCCTGAGACGGAGCCGCCCGAACCGAGCGTAGGTGCCCGTTCGAGCGGCGACTCCGCGAAGACGACCGCGAACTCCTGTGGGCGTCGCTCGGGTCGTCGTAGCCAACGCTGGCATTGGCGAAGTCGCCGAACGCGGAGCTCAGTAGCAGCCGGGGCAATGCGGAGCCTCCTCAGCACGGCCTCGTCCGCCATGGCCATGTACTTCAGCAGGGGCTTCCCAGCTGCATCGAACTGCGGATTGCCGTCGCTGTCGACGATGGGGGGCTTCTGACGCGCAGCGCCCGACAGCAAGCGTCGACCCAAGCTGGAAAGGACCATGTCGAGCTGCTGGTGCTGCGCCGCGCTGAGAATGAGGACGTTCATCCCGCTGGGCACCGCCTCCTGCACGACTGAGCCGAGCACCATCCGCGTCAGGCGCAAGACGCGGTTCCTCGACCAGAAGCGCCCCATGCTGTAGTGTCCCCATACGGGCAGCTTGCAGCCGTCGCCGAAGCTCCGTCTGCGCGCTGCCCGCGATGGAAGTCTGGATGCCGAGGGCCACATTGTCGTACTGCACGGCGCCCGCGATAGCCCCCGAGCCGCCGAAGAGCTGCCGGGCCTCCTGCTGGGCGCCAGGGCCCACGAAACAGGGCGAGACGGAGCTCTTGGTCGGTTGGCGCGGGTAGCCTTGGGGCTCCAGCGAGCGGCGCAGCTCGAAGTGGGAGTGCCGTGAAACGAAGCCCGCGTGCCTCGCGGAGACGACCGCGCTCGCGTGGTTCGCGTCGTCGGCGTAGATCCTCGCGCCCAGCGGGACCGCGGCCTCGAGCAGCGGGCGCCGCGGAATGCAAAGGGCCTCACTAGGCCAGATCGTCGCGTCGATGTCAGCGCGAGGAGCAGGAGGAAGGAGAGGATACCGCTACCACTCCTCGTAGGTGGTCGGGTGGGCGGGCACCTCGTAGGTGGCCCAGCTGGCAGCTCGCAGGCGTCGCAACCATTCAGCACTAGGCTCGCGAAAAGTCCTGGCGAAGAAGAGCGCTGCGGGCGCGCGGCCCATGAAGGCGCCGCAGCGATTGTGGAGATCGTGATCGCCGTCAGCCCCGAGGGCGCGGAAAGTGCTGAGCTCGTGCCGCTGGTGGAAATAGACCTGCTCGTCTGGGCGAACCGCCACCTCGACCGTCTGACGGAGCGCCGCGCGGCTGGAAGAGCCGAAGGCGTTGCTCATGTCCTCCTTCGTCGTGAGCGTCGACATCCCGAGTCTGCGTAGGCGACCGAGGAGTCCCTCCTGGCAGAGGGGCGCACCTTCCCGATTGCGACCACGCTGGTAGTCATGCCCTCGCGGTGGAGGCTCGTCAGGTGGGGCCCGCTGAAGCTGAGCCTTGTGCCAGGCCGTGCCAACCCTGCAGAGGCCGTGGATGGAGCGCTTGGGGCTGAACTCGGTATTCCCGTTGTGCTTGTCTAAACCCGTGGTGACCGAGCGGTGCCAGATCAACGGCGCGCGCTTGACCCGTCTCACCGGCGCGAGGATGGTCTTCAGAGCCCGCTCTGATGGGCGCGTCAATTTCCTCGCCGTCCGTGCCGAGTCCGCGACGAGGAGGTTCGTCACCCTCCTCGTCGGCGTCCTCAGGCCGTCGTGGTCGCTTGCGTCGAGACTTACCATCATATCGCCTCCAGGGTTCTAGGGCAATCCGTAGAACTTCCGTCGGTGCACCATGAGGAGGGGCAGCCCTGCGACGCGACGACTTCGAGATCACGTCCAGCAGCTTCTCGAAGTCCTCACGCGCCAACTCCAGGTGGTCGCGCGCAAACATCGGAGCCCTTGGAAGCTCCTCCAAGTACTGCTGGCGATACGTCTCGAAGTCGATCGGGGCCGCCTCCACGCCTCCAGCGGCGCCAGTCTGGGCGAAGTAGTTCACGATCTCGGCGCGCCGCGGCACTGAGCAGCAAGCTGGTGACTGAGGCGCCACACCTCAGCGAACTGCCGCTTCTGCCAGGCCTCGTGCATGTCGTTGACTAGTAGCTGCACCTCGCTGTCAAGGCGCTCACGACGATGCGCCCGCTGACGACGGGACGCCCGCGCGAGACTGAATGCCAGCGCCTCGGGATCGCCACCAGCCTCACGAACGGCCCGACGGTCTGCAAGCAGTTGGAGTCGCTCTTCACGCAATCGCTGCACCCGAGGGGCCACAGGAGCGCGGCCTGAGAAGTGCTTTGCAACGACTTCTGAGACCTGACCGATCCAGCGATCCCAAGCTTCGCCGGGAGCCTTCGCGTCGTAGAGCGCGTGGAAGTAGTCGGGATGTCGCGAGAACTCGTCCTCCAGCTCGCGAACGAACGCCCCGACGCCCGTGCCGTACTGCAGCGCCTGCCCCAGCCGATGGAAGTCCCAGATCGTCCGCTTGCGCGGTGGTGGCGCCTGCAGCGTGTAGATGACCTTCATAAGAATCGGGACATGATCCTGCAGACCAGGACGAGGGATGAGCTTCAATCTCAAGTTGGCGCTCTTGAGCGGAATGACCTTCTCGACGGACGCCGTCTGCCAAGCGAAGACCGCGACGTGGTCGATGAACGAGGCACTCCGCGCGCCGTGGTAGGTGGGCCCCACGTCGAAGTCGCTGGTCACACTCCGCAGGGCGAACCTCTCCATCAGCTCCAGCATCTTGTCACCAGCGTGGTGCTGTAGTTGGCGGCCGTGCGGGCCCAGCGCCGACGAGGTCACCTGCTCGTAGATTTGCTGCCCGCACTGGCGTGTGCCGAACCCGTCGTTGAGATCGAACCCGGAAAGCAGAGCCGACCGCCCCCGCGCCCACGTCAGCGTCTGTTCGATCCAGTCGCAGAACGCGTCGACGGTGCGCCTGTATGCCAGGTGCTGGGTGCCAGTGGGCGCGGACTCTCGGGCTGAGCGTCGGGCCGACGGTCTCGGCGGGAAATATACCGTCGGCACAAGGATGTCGAACCGTCCGCTCCTCAGGCGTGTGAGGGCGACCCGACCTCTCAGCAACTCTGGCACAGGAGGGGTGTCCACTAGATGCGGAGATCGAAACACACGTCTGCGAATAATAATAATACAGCCGCAACTCTTGTTCGCGTGGGGGCTGGGACTCCAGCCTGACCGAAGAGCAGTGTGGTAGGGCAACGTCGTACGAATGGTATCGACATCTCCTCTCCGCTCGCCCGTACCGCTCAGACAGATCACATCAACGTAGCGAAATTCAGCAGAGATATCACACAGCCTCTCCTCCGAGCTGGCGTTCTGAGCGTTCCAATGAATGAACTTCATATCTGGGAGAGCAACAAGCCATGGCCAGAAACTCCAGAGCATCAGTAGCAGCGACAACGCCAAGCTCGACAGCCGCCGCCGCAACATCGCAAGAGGAGGGCGCGCCATTCCTGACGCGGGGTATGAATGCGCATCCTCGGCGCGGCCGCCCCTGAAACACCGACCTCGGGCAGAGGGGGCTAGGAGGAGGAGGAGGAGGAGGAGGAGGAGGCGGAGGAGGAGGAGGAGAAGGGGGAGGAGGAGGAGGAGGAGGAGGACGAGGACGAGAAGGAAGAGGACCAGGGAGGGGTTCACTTCGCTCGAGGTCTCCCGAGCGAAGTGAACCCCACCCTCCCCCGCAGAAATCGTGGGGGGCAGGGGTAGGGTTCGCACGTGGCCCCCTACCAGCTGCACCAGGCCTCAGATGTTCTCAAAAACGATGGGGGCGTGTTTTTTTTTTTTTCCGTTTTCAAAATCGACGTTTTTCCCTTGTTTTGGACGCAGTTGTTTTCTCCTGTCTTGGATTTTTTGACAGTTAGGCCTGGGGCCCAGGCCCCCCCTCGAATCTTGCAAGCATCAAGACGGAGCATGTTCCGCGCTGTTTTTGGCCTCTGGGTGCCCTCACCGGGCCTCGGGGCCGAGAAAAAAACGACTCAAGAGGAAAAACCGGTCCAGGGGAATGGGTCCGGACCTCTGGGGGTCGCGTCATGGAGAAGTCATTACGTCGCGTCACGGAAAAAACATCACGTCGCGCCATGGAAAAATCATTACCAGGCCTACCCTCTAGGCCCAGCAGCGGTGTATCCTGAGGCTTGCTTTTGCAGAACGTCGACCCCAGAGAGGTCGACCCATTCTATGGGTCGAGACCTCTGCGGTCGACGTTGTGCAAAACTTCTCCTCCTCCTCCTCCTCCTCCTCCTCCTCCTCCTGCCGTCGGGGGGCCTGGGGCCGCAGCTCGCTGCCATCACTGCAGGGCGCCGCTGGCTCTCTTTCCATGGGGGCGGATCTGCGCCCCCTCTGCGCTGGGGGCCGCCTGCGGACCAGCCGCAGTGGTGAACGTTCTCTTATTCGGCGTCTCGGCATTCGGCGGAAGGGAGTTGGGCGCGGCTTCACGGAAGGGGGGGCAGAAGCGGTCCCCGTTCGTGCCCCTTTCGGGCCCCTCCGGGGCCCCAGGGGGCTCGTTTAGGTACCGTTTGGGTACTGTTTCGAACAACCCTCGCCACCCCCCCATTTATGACCCCTCCATTACGCAACGCCCAAGGGGGTGGGGTCTGGTTCTGGACCTCTGGCCAGGCCCACCTATGGGTCTATGCCCCTGGCCAGGCCCACCCTCTAGGCCCAGCAGCGGTGCATTTGCCCCAGTGGCTTGGCCAGTGTGGCACGTACACCGCTCCTGGGCTTATGATGCTCCAACCTACTTTCAGCCTTGATCACCAAGAAGATCTTCGAGCACCAAGAACGTGTCGGAATTGGAAGGCTTTCACGTGTGGGGCCCTGGGGGGCGATACTCGTTCGACGCTGTTTCGATACTCTCCTGGGTGCTCGAAAGAATTTCTGGGATGTGGTCCGCAAGTGCGGTGGGAGCAACATAATCCCGGGCCCAGACTGGGCCCAGGCCAGGGGGGAGGTGGGCAATCATGTATATCTAAATGTGTATATATATATATATATGTATGTATGTATGTGTATATATATATATATAGACGAGCGCGTTCCACTACTCGCAAAGTGACTACTCGCAAATGGCCTGGATCCGCCGCGAGGGATCTACGACAAGTTGCATCGAAGCAGAAGTGTGTTTGCTCGGACATTGGCGAGCAGGCACTTTGCGGGTAGTGGAACGCGCTCGGTGAATACAGGTCTCGCCGCCCGATGTCTGCTTGCTTCGTCGCGAGGCCTCCACGAAGCCCTGCGCGGTGAAGCACAGCGCGTCGAGGGCGTCCAGCACCTCTGGAGAGAGCACGGAACTGCACAGTCGGAGACCATTAGAGGTTCGCGCGGATCTCTTGGGCTACCTACCAAACCACCCCAACCGAACCCGAAGACCCGCATTTCGGCTTTTGGGGGGTACGGGTTCCTCACGCGATTTCTCGATGCTCCCCGACAGCCCCCCCACTGGGAGTGGAGGGCAAAGTCGGGCCTTCTGGTAGGGTTGGGCTGGTTTGGTGGGCGGTGACTCTTGGATCGGCGCTGGGCTCCCTCCCTGGCGCGCTCCCAGCGCCAGGGGCGGCGCCGGAGGCGATGCCAGGGGGCCCAGCGCCGATCCATGAAATCCGTGCGGACCTCCGAATTCTTGTGTTTATGAAATTTGCGCTGCTTCGAACCTCGCGCAGCGTCAAGTGCCCGTGCTCCTATCGGCGAGGAATGGGTGAGTGGGGACCGATGCGTCCCCCTCTGCGCCTATCCACCCCTAACGTTGCCCCTGGCTTTTGCGCCGCAGCTCAACTCTCCGGCGGCCGTCCGGGACGGCCCGGGCACTCCCGAACGCCCTCGGCGAGGCGTAGCTGCTGCAGAGCATCCCAAGGCTGGTACACCACCCGGAGCAAACGACAACGCCCCAAAGACCTCAAACCCTCACACCCCGAGCCTGTCGCGCCGCCCCCTGAGCCCGATCAGCTATGCCCCCCGAGTGCTCCTCGGGTGTTCGTCCACGGGGGGGGGCAGCAGCACCCTGCCCTTCCAGGAGGGTAGAAAAAAAACACCAGGGCCTGGAGATCCACATTCCTGTCGAGGTCTCAGGTCGTCCAGATAGGTCTGTAGGTTTGGAAGGGCTAGTGCTCTGCACTCTGCAAGGTCGGGGTAAACGGGGGGCCAAGGCACGTGCACATTTCGTGCATCCTTAGGGCTCCCCCCCTGGCAGTTGATAGGGGCCGCTTACAAGGCCCCTTTCATAAGGCCACCTTCCTGCAGTCCCCGACACCCCCCGCCTCTCACGTTTACCCTGACCTTCCAGGAGGGCTAAAAAATGACACCAGGACCTCGACATCTTAAAACCTGTCGAGTCTTGAGGTTTTAGGCAATCCAGATAGCTCTACAGGTCTGGAGGGCTATTTCTTAGCTCTCTGGAAGGTCAAGGTATTGCCCCCCCCCTCAGCTACACGTAAGAGTGACCTTCGTCCAGAGCGGCCTTTCGTAGGCGAGCGCGTTCCACTACTCGCAAAGTGACTACTTGCAAATGGCCTGGATCCGCCGCGGGGGATCGACGATAAACTACGTCGAAGCAGGTGTTTTTCGCACGTTTGCGAGTAGGCACTTTGCGA